TTTTTCAATGGCCCTCCCCCCGGCTCAAAATTTTTTTCGATGGCCCTCCCCCCATTTTTCGATGTCGCTTTATCCCTCCGTAAATTCCCGAATTAAGTACGCATCCCGATTAAAGCACGCACCCCCAATTTGGGGCTGATGGGAGACAAATATTCCCGTCTGAAATGGAAAAACCCTTCTACGCACGGCCGGTACCTCCGGTCTTAAAGCCAGTTCATCGTTCCAAACAAATTTAAAATTGCAGCTTTAAAATTGTTAAAAACTAGATCTATGCCGTGTACTGCGTGATTGTATGGTAACGTTGCGGGAAACGTTCCATGTTCGGGCTTGTTTTCACCGCCGGCCGCAGCCGACTTGCAAGACGTCACCACCGCATCGAAAGGTAAGGCAAGTGCGGCGAAACGTACATCTTTGGATCCCGGAGAGTGTTGGTGATCAAGCAAGCAATGGTCAATAAAGATTTGTGAAAAAAGACCGTATTTCAATATTGACTTCATCAGTAGCGGGGGGTGGTTGAAAGTTGATGCACAAGTACGTAGCTTTGTTCTTTTTTTTACTATACAAAATGCACCGAACACTTAAAATAGCGCCCGCCCGATCGACCCATGGAGAGCAATTAATTAACGATCATCGAGGCAGAGAACTGGGCGGAGTATTCATGCTACTGTAGAGGTGCTGCCGAATTCAAAAATTTGCCACCGAAACCAAAACAACAAAAGACTACTGGGACTTGTGAAAAGTTTGTCTGCGTTTCAAATAATCTCTCGTAATGTGATTGATGTTTTTGTCACAAAATCAAAGGAATGAACAGTTACACTTCTAAGGAATAAACACGTGTTAATTTGTACTCCGTAAAACCTATAATATATAAGTACATTCTGTTCAGAGGAAAGAAAGACTTCCTTCCCGGGGCCCAGGTTCGGGAAAGCTGTCCTCAGCGCTGCCACGGCCCTCTTTGTTCTTCATCGGTAGGTGTACTTTGCCTGTCGGCGCGCCCAACACCCCACCCACCGGCCTTTCATCAAAGACTACATTTAAAGTTAACTCCGCCCATATCATTGTAGCTTGCCGAACAGTCGGGTGGGAGAGTACATCTAGCTGGCATTTTCACGTCGTACTGCACTGGCTGGTATAGCCCGCTACAAAGTAATTTCCCGTGGCGTTTTTCAAGACTTAACTTTGAAGATTTGTGATACGAAATGAAACATGGATAACAATTTCTGTCAACAGAATTTTTGAAACGGCATGGGGTATAATCTTTGTCGAAGATTTTTTAGTTAGACTCAAGCCGGAAGTGCATTAGAACTGACCATCAGTCAAGGCACAACTGTTATGTTATCACATGTAACGTTACGTTTACGACGATCAAAAACGTTCACGGCTTGCGGACCATTTCAAATATTACCGCTCATAAACCCTCTTACAATTTTATATGTACTCACGGGAGGTTATATTTTCGGCCGGAGTTCCACTGAGATCGGCGTCGGCTGGCTGGGGAACGATTCGGTCGGCATGACGGAGCGCTGGGCGTCATTGCTATTGACCAACATTTTCTTACATTGGGTGACTTGACTTCTTCTTTTTTACCGCAACTTGGTGTAAATATCGACGATAGTCAGAGGAAATATGTTTTTATTTATTGAAGTGCAACTTTATTTCCACTCGTCAATATTCTTATCTAAACGTGCTATGGACGATCAATGTCGTTCCAAGCTCCCCGTGCCGGTGTTCCGCTATATTCCTGGGTCGTCCACGGATTTATACATGTCGGGGGGAAACCTCAAATAAAGTACGCACCCCGACTTTGGCGACGGCCCGAGACACTTTTGGGATTTGGAAAAGTTTTAATTTTGTAATTTACGGCGTATTTCTTGTAATTCGGTACTAGGCGACGCCATATTTTGGAAAACTTTTTTCGGTGGCCCTCCCCTCGGTTAAGATATTTTTTCCATGGCCCTCCCCCCCAGGCCAAAAAATTTTTCAATGGCCCTCCCCCCCAGTGCACCAGCCCTCCCCCCCTGGTAAATATCGTACAGTCCCTAAGTATGGCCTGTCCAGGGCTTAGGACATCTTCAAAGCTGGAATTTGTTGAATAGATTCCATTAAGACTCAGTTGAACAATTTTAAAGAGGTTAGAACTCAACCACATGTACATGTATTTCATTACCAAATCATTTAAAATTCGTGAAGTATTTGTATTGTCTTGCTTTTACTTATCAATAAGCAAAACAATAATCTTCCTTTCTTTAGTAGATATGGTCTTTTTTAAATGCTTTAAGACCTATCATCAGGGATATACCTGTTTGTCAAAAGTATTTGAATGGGCTTTCATTTGACGTCGCACTTAAAACTACTTCATTCACTCATACATGTTTCTTTATATCCCATGTGTGTTGCATTCTGATCATACCTTCCTTATGGAGAATTGGACCACAGTGTTCGAAGTGACTACATGTACTTTATTTCCTGTCCCAGCTGCAGCAGGTGGCAGTGATGTTCAGCCTCCTCCTCTGGCCTACAAGAAATGGGGACTGGGGGACCAGGCCAACATGGTGGACCACATCAGCTGTGGTGAGTAGAAGAAATACCTGCCATGGTCTAGTGAGTAGTTTAGTGGGAGGTTGCACTGGGGTCATCCCTCATTGATGACCCTGGACTTTTTGGAAACTTTGATCTTTGACCCTATTGTTACCTTCTGTTGCCAGGTGTGGTGACCCCCAGCCTGTTTGACCAGCTGCAGACTGCCTCCATCCTGGGTGGTTACGGTGCAACCATCACCCAGAACCCGCCGCCTGCAGCCAGATACATCACCAGCGGCACCAGTCCTTATGTCGCCTTCTTCTTCGCTGTGGAAGTATGACTTGTTCTGGTTGTGATGCTTAATGGCACATGTCATATCATTACAGTTTGAAATAGCAATATCTGTAACCCCCTGTACACGTATCCTCTGTAAGTATTAACCCTGTCCCTCTTTACCTCTGCCATAGGGAACAGCACCACCTATCATCTCTGAAGTTGCTGCAGCAGTAGCCAGCAAACTGAAGTCAGCTTTGATCTCTGGTGTTGGGTAAGTCAGACTTACTCAATGGATGTAAAACCGAATCTCCCTATAGAGTGGGGAATAAAATCAAATCCTGCATGTTAAGAGATAAAAACTACCTTTTGCACTATGCTTATTTTCCTGTTAGTTCAGTGATAAGTTCTTTCATTTCTCCGGAGTAGCAATTGTTAAGTATGGTGCGAGCACATTTAAGATGAGACACACCTTGAGCAGGTTTAAGTTAAAAGTAGGGATACGCTCTTGATACATCAAACCTATCAGTTCCTTGCACAGCTTGTACTTACTTCAAGTACTTCTTGTTTGCCACATGGCTATGAACCAGTCATGCAGTACAATTACAATTATTTGTCCCTCCCCAGAGGATGGCTTGGATGGAAAGGAAAGCCACAAGGTGAGGATCCCAAACAGAAGCCAAAAGTGGAGCCTGCAACTCCTCTTCCACTCAGGTGGGCTATTTTTCAATTATATACAGATTACTTCTCATAGTCTGTATTTCTCAAGAAACGAACATGTAAACCAACCCTGTCACTAATTCAAACTTGATGCCTCAAGATCAGCAAGGAGAGGGTTATTGCCTTTGTCATTGCCCAAAGATGGATGGAACAGGTTGTGGAAATGTCAAAAATGCACCATACAGTTTTGTCAAATTTCCTGACAGACTACTAACTGCACTGATGTACAGGTTTGGTCTCCCTGACCTGCGTCGGCATGGTGACAGTATCGTCCTGTCACCTGGTCGTCAGCTGGCCGCCACCACTGACAGCTTTGGTCGAGTCATTCTGATTGACACTGACAAGGGTGTGGCCATCAGAGTGTGGAAAGGTGGGAGTCTTTTGTACAACGTCATTTAGATTTACCTCAGCAAAGGAGGCTGTCTTTTTCTCAGACTTAGTGGGATAAGTAATTGAGTTATGAATGAATGCCTGTAAGTCTCAGTCTGAGACACAGGTGACCAGAATTTAGGAAACATATGGTATTTTCATTAGAATAATTTACCATTATGAGGCAAATTGCAAGTTGCAAAGATGTAGATCTTGCCAGAAAGATGACAGTTGAGTTAGTGATTGATTGATTCCTGTATTAACTGATTGATTGATCAATTGTTCGATTTATTGATTGATTGATTGATTGATTAATTGATTGATTGATTGGAGTTACAGGTTACAGAGATGCCCAGGTTGGGTGGGTCAAGGTAACCGAGGACAAGGACCGTGATGCCATGGCAACTGACACGCCCCCCAGAGAAGCACTCTTCCTCATCATATATGCTCCCAGGAGAGGTATTCTAGAGGTGAGTCTGCTGTTTTTAACCCACTTTGACCAGTAATGATTGTTGCACCATGTTACAACAGATTAACATTCTCCCTGGACAACAGGGTAAACACCCAGATGTTAGGGATTCGAAACCCCAATTTTCATGCACACTACTGGTACTACCAGTGGTAGCAATTACTGTCCTTTTTGGAGGGGATCAGTCCATAAGGAGAGTGTCAAGAATGTTCAAAAGAAAACAACAACCCATGATAGTAGGCGTTTCTCAAGGTGTGCTTATGCCATATTTCTGGGGACACTGATATGAGTAACATGACTTGTATGTTTTGCAGGTGTGGGCCATGCAGCAGGGACCTAGGGTGGCAGCCTTCAATGTGGGGAAACAATGCAGGTTAGATTAACCACATGTAATTATTCAGGTTGCTAAATGTATTTTCTCTCCTTTATGAGCGGAGGAAAGAATTGGTTGAATTGTTCATATGCTCCTTTTGTTTCATGAAATGAGGACTCACACTGTTTTACTGTTTGTTTGAATACATTTGTGAAGATTACTCATCCAGGGTACGTAGTAACAATAAGATCATAGTACATGTAATTAAGTCTTTTCATACTGGATAGATTTTTAATAGTCAAGAGTTCGTCAGGAGGATGACGGCTGAGACTATCAATTTACCGGTTTCGACTTTTTATTCCAAAGTCTTCATCAGAAAAATGAAGATAGTAATTTAGTCTTTTCAAACTGGATAGATTTTTAATAAGCAAACATTTCGTGTGTTGATCTTCACAGATGAAGGGTGTCGGATCAACACCTGAAACGTTTGCTCATTAAAAATCTATCCAGTTTGAAAAGACTGAATTACTATCTTACTGTTGTTTGTTTTTAATGTTTGTTTAATGTGAACACAAAGATGCTGACCAACCATCCCTTACGTCCCACCATGCCTTCCTTGCAGACTGCTGTGTCCAGGCTATACCATGATGGGGTTGAACAATGTGACCTTCTACACCAACAAACCTCCCACGTACCAGTGCTGCCTGGTGGAACCTTCTGGTGTCATAAAGATCATCAATGTACCCTTCCATCTCATTCTCAGGTAATAGGTTCCTGGGTATTTGGCTTAGTGCACATCAATTCTAGATCAAAATATATAAGGTCTGGGCACAACCCATTATTTACATTGAGAATAAGAAATGTTCAAATTGTTGCTCCTTCTCAATGATGAAGAATAGGTGTAGGTGACCAACAAATGGTGATGAAACCTTAAAAAAGTGCTGCATTATCTCTGTTGCTTTACCTGGTATGTTTTCTTGTCAAAAGTATTACAACCTGTTGAAACTGTTTTTGAGATCATGACATCATTTCTCTCTCTTAAGTATGGTTATCCAATTCTATCTAATCTCAGTGGTGCAAACAGCAAGAGAGCCAGAGATCTGCACCTGCTGAAGAAGCTGTCCACCATCCTCAGCACACCCAGCTCCCAAGAAGGCACGAGTCTCCTTCTATTTGCCATTGATGTTATTTCACTGCGCAATGTAGTTATCAATAGATCCATATAAAGCAATGTCAAACCATTGAATTTGGAAATACCATGCACAAAAAATTCCGTGTTCTAATGTTTCTTGCCTCTGCTTTTCTCTTTCTGTAGGATCCTTAGAGAAACAGTTAGTGAACATCATTTCAGACATCAAAATTGTGGCTTTAAAAAGACAGGTGAGGACTAAAAAAAAATTAATTTTTTCATTTTTGCCACTTGTAATCATGATTTATATCCATCTTGAGAGGCTATAGCATCTTCTCTCCTTGTTCCTCCCAAGGGCCTGGAGAAGATTCTGGCTCATAAGATCCTGCCAGCTGATCTGATGCGGAATGTCATTAGGACTGTGAAGAACAATATACAGCTGGCCCTGGAGAAGGAAGGTTTGGCATCGCTTGTATCATCATTGCAATCACTGACATTTTAATATACTACAGATCCATTTGTAAGTTTAAAAAAAAGTTTCAATAGATTTTTAGAATTTTTGTTCTTTTTTTTTGTAATTGGCCTGTGTGTTTGGAATTAAGTGATTAATGTTTCTGACACAGTTATGTAATTTCAACCAGTGCAAGATTCAGTGCAAAAGTGCTGTTTTACCATAGCATTTAGAAATCTTTTGTTGACTTGGTCTATAGCAAAATATTAAGTGACCTGTAATATGACATACATAGCAAATGACATGACATACCTAGCAAACTTCCTCCTGTACTTTTATTTCTAATTCCTTTTTGTACCTGTCTGTTCAGACCCAGACTCCATCGCCCCTGAGAGCAGAGGTCTACTGCACTTCTGTAAAGTACAGGAACTGCTGCTGGATGTGTACATTACCATCAGTCTGCTGAACAAGCAAGCTACACAGGCCATGGGCATGGCTGAGAACAATCCAGAACAGGTACAGATAAACAGCAAATATACACAAAGGAAGCCTTTAAGCACATTGATAACATAAGACATTACTTTGCTTCTTATTTCATATGTTAGGTTCCGTGTTGTGTGAACTAGTCAAATTTCATGCATCTCAGAAAAGCAGCACAAATACATTGATAGAGCTATGGTGATGGAAGGAAACAGACATTTGAAATAGGTGAATTACAGCTTGTTGTGTGTTCCCCAGACATTGGCAGCCACCTGAGTGTAAGTGTGAGTGAAGCGCTGCAGTACCTATCAGCAGTTGATGACTTCATGAGGGAATCAGCTGGCAACAGGGTGCACTTCCAAGACCCCATACACATCGACCCCGCAGCCTTCCTGTCCTGTTTCATCTGTCCTTATCATCATGCTGATGACAATGCACCTACTTCATCTTCCCTAAAAATTCTCATGAGTTCAGACATTGATGAGCAGCTGTCACTCAAACTTGGTGAGAATTGGTGTTGTTTGTCATTCCCAGTTACTTAGTCAGTATTTACTTACAGTGATTTTTTGGGTTGTGAAATAGCCTGATTTTGATCAACTTGATGTGTACTCACTGTACAGACAGCCTTATAATGGCTGCAGCAAAATTTGATGGTAAAAGTACATTTACTTTGTACTTTGTCTGCAGGAACATTCCTGTTCAAATGTGGTCTGACGGGAGGTGACTCCATTGAAGCCCTGTGTTCCTGTCTGGAGAGGTCAGGCATCCCTGCTGCTGACCTCATGGTTAGTCACAAGTCTGTGTCTGCATGTGTGTGTGTCTGTATGTGTGTGTGTGTGTGTGTGCGTGCATGTGTACATACAGTATGTATTTTGTGTATGCATGGTCTTCTGAAAAGAAATGAAGTTGTGTGATATGCAGGCTTAGGCATTACAAGTAGTTGGACAAAATGTAACCAACCACTGTCTACCTTTGAAACCAGTGATCAGTTCTACTGGAAGGCACTTCTGTTTACAGACTAATACAGATACAGATATCAATCAAATAGCAATATTTTTCTCTCCTTATATAGTCATTACTCCTGAGAGTGTGGCTAAATAGTGAGACTGAGCTGATTCGCCCAAGAGACGTATCTCCCGTCAGCAACTTGCACTGCCTCCTGGCAAGCATTACCAGAACTGCAGGTCAGTCAGAAATATCTGTAAAGGGAAAAGAGTGTGTTGTCTTCTCAGGGTATTCTGTATGCATTGCTTAAGGAGAAATGTTTGTGTGTGTGCAAATCATGTGATAGAATTAAAGAAGTCATCTATTACAGATATACAGCCTACGTATATATTGTAACCCTTCTTTCCCTGCCGTGTGCTGGAAATGCTGGAAAAAGGTACCCTAAGTTTCTGTGTCATGTTTATGTGTGTTTATGTTATGGCATCTGAAGCTGAGTAATATTGAACATGTAATATTTGCATGAAAACTCTTGGCTATGTGACATTAATGTTCATCTGAAACTCTAGTGGACTACTACCAGTAGGCATTGATCGAATATTACAGCAGGAATATAATTCTTATGGATTTTATCATTTTATTCTATTATCATAATTGTTACAGCAACCTCATTCTAACATGAAACAGGTCTAACCCAAGCCCCTCTTTAATTTTTTTTAATCATCTCATTCTCTTATTTTCATTTGCCCCAATTAACCTTTGTTTCCTGCCCTGTGTGACATGTCCAGATGCCCATGCTATTCATGCAGAGCCCAACACAGTATCCCCGTGGTGGCAGAGTGTCAGGGACATCTGTACAGCAGCTGAAGCACCTGCCAGTGCCCTGATGGCAGCTGTTGCTGCACGGAGCGTGGCTGCATCTGTTGTACCAAACAACAAAAGTGGGAACAAAGAACAGGTAAGATGTTTGTACTTAAAGATGCCCTAAATCTCTGAAATGTTAGCTTTGTACTAGCATTTGCTTGTAGCATTGTCTGTTTATAAAAAAGACTTATGAATGTATTTTGTGGATAGGGCCTTGCTCATTTTCCTTTCATTTCCAAGTTTTGATCAATAAAAACTACAGCAAATATCAGAAATTTTACTTCAAAAGTATCCACATTCTGTAATACAGGACAGTCAAGAAGACAAAGACACAGACCAAGAAGCACTTTCCTTGAGTTCCCCTACACCAAGCACCACCAGCACTGACACCATGGAGGAATGGGAGACGGTTGCCATGGATACCGAACATTGGAACCTGCTGGTGCGGCAGCTGGAGGATGTAGTGGTACTGAGCACGCTCCTGAGGAGTAAGGTCAGGGACGGTGTGGATCGACCTCCTTCATATGCAGAAACCATGGGGAAGGAACACAAGGTTGTCTCTGTCAAGGGACTGCTGGAAGGTGGCAGCGGTAGGTCACTGGAATACACATGTCCTTGGTCAAGTGTTGGTTTAGACTACTGCTTGTGCATCCTTTAACCAAATGTGTGTTGCATACAGCAAATGAGCTGTGTGATACGTGACATACATGAAGATGAATTAGTTTGGAATGTTCTGTACAGGGTCCATTGCAGCATTGGTTGCTAACTGGGTGGCAAGGACAGGGATTCTACCCAGCATGCTTTCTGTCTCCCATCATGCCGAGGGTGAGGATGAGGAAGCCATGGAACTGGGAACAGATGTGACCTCTGAACCGGCTCTTCCAGAACTGGAGAGGCTGGCAGGTATCTAAGGGCCAATGATCTTCTTTTAAAAACACATCCATATTGTTTTGGGAGCATAAACTTTCATCTGAGTAACAAGTTGCTACAGATTAAAAGGTCAGTGTCAGCTATGCATATTATCATGTGCGACCCTCAGAAATTAGGCCTAACTGCAAATGAGTCTTTCACGCATAGGATTTCAAGTCTCCAGTCTTCCATCAACCAAGTTTGTGTGGCTATGAAATCACTTCCACTATGACCCACTGAGAATAGTTCACAACATATTGCAGATAGTCTCACTGTTGTGTTTACCAGATGTTTTGTCAATGTTAGACCTCTACAGAAGCCAACTGGAGCGTTTCCCCTACAGCCTGGACCCAGAGGTGCTCCATGCACACTGTACCTGGGAGTATGTGGTACAGTGGAATAAAGATCCAGAGGTAGGAGAAATCATCTTTGCATTTCATTGGTTTTCTTTTGGCGCAGAAAATGGTGTTGGTTCCTTTTATTTTCTTTATAGGAATTACAGCATTCCCATCTTCATTGTATAAACAGGCTTCATATAAAAATTGTGAAATAAATACTAGTAGCTAGCATGAGTGAATTCCATGTTTCTCTCACCTTCATTCACTCAAATGGGTAACTTTGCCTACTGAAGATTGAAACCAAACATATTTTCATTATTTCAGGTTGTAGCCTTACTGGAAAGGTCCATTGAGCATCTTAAGTTTGTTGGCAATGCTTACCTACAACATGGTGAGTTGTCAGTTTTTGTGTGCGTAGTGATGCCTTTGTTCTTTATACTGATTGGTGCTGTTAGTGTACAATGTAGGTGGTGGAAATTGGCAGCATTTGTCCTTGGTGCTGATTGGTTGTGTTTGTGTCCTTGGTGCTGATTGGTTGTGTTTGTGTCCTTGGTGCTGATTAGTTGTGTTTATGCCTTTGGTGCTGTCTTTGAGGATGTACAAGTTTTAGACTCTTAAACCTTCTTTAAATTTCTTCCTATCAAGCCTAGAAAAAGACCTGACTTGACTAATGAGGTTAAAATTATCCCAGAACAAGGCTATACAGCAGCCTAAGAAATATTGCTGCAAAAAGATGCTGAATTGTTGTTTGCCTGCAAGCTTGTTGTAGTAATTACCATGTCTGCTAGATTGCTTTTGGCAGATGTTTCTAATAATTATGTTTCTTTTGTTATTGTTGTTTACAGGCCTGGGCTGCATGATGTGGCACACCTTCATGGTGAAGAGATTCTCAGCAACTGCTTTTCTTATGGAAAAGGTACAAGAACTCACTGTACTGATGAGATTATGTTATTACCAGAATCAGCTTGCTAGTCACTTTACGGGTTTTTAAACAACGTACCTACAGAAGTCTTTCAACTCTAATGGAAGAACTTTGTTGTTGTCCTGCAGTCAGATTGTAAGCATGTCAAACCTAAACAGACTAGTATACCATTGGTGAAGATATTTGCTGTCTAAGTGCTGCTCGGATGCATTGAAGTTTTTTTCCTGACAGCCACATTAAATGAACCCCACCCACCTCGCACACAGTTTTGTCTATACTGGTGTCATTGTATTCTAAATTTTTTGGATCATGTGTGTTTTTACATCACTCAGGTTGGGAAGGCCCCAAAGGATAGGCTGTGCAGAAAGGTAAAATTTCAAAGTTCAATGAGTGCATTATTATCTTTATTGATCATACTTGCTCTACACATTAAGTTTTTTCTTAACAATTGTCCCCAAGACTCAAATGATTACATGATCAGTATAATTCCCTACCACATGTCGACAAGAATACAAGTAGCTTGAAGTCTTAAATTTGTTGTCTAACTTGTGTTACCAACCAGGATGTTGGCTTGAGTGATGCAGCCTTAACAAACTTTCTGGGACAATGCAACATCCTCTTGCAAGTCATATTAGAGGTAAGAACTTCTTCATAATAATGAGCATGCATTACAATCTAATGTGAAATATCTTAAATAAGCATCAGTTTTCTTCATACTCCTATTCCAAGTGACCTTAAAGCTTGTAATGCTTGCTCTTAGGCAATCCTGTGATTTTGGATGTGAGACATTTTGCCTCGTGCACATTTCTAAGCTGTGTATCATCCCAGTGTTTCATAGATACAAATATGTCTTCCATGTAACATCACTAAAATAAAATGTACATGTATTTAGCTTACATTTGTCACTTATTTTATATCTTGGTGCAGTCATTAGGCTTTAGTTTTGGCATCTGTGTATTCTGTTTTCTTGTCATTATAATTTATACTGTATTTAGATTATTCCCTTTCCATAAAAAAATCTTACAGGTGTTGCTGGTGTGGGCCATGGTTTTCTTTTTCCATAAGGTGCACGTGGTGATTGCAAGGCATGGAAAACATCTGTTAAATTTACCTCCATAATTTATTCCTTTTTTTCATTTGATTTGTATTCTTCAACACACTGTATCAAAACATATCATAAAACCACTGCCTTAACAATCCCATGTCCATCCAGCCGTCCCAGTGATAGGGTACTGTATCCCTTCCGTTGCAGGCGGAAGTAGAGTCCCCGTACCCATTCTTTTCCTCACAGGCGGAGGTGGAGTCCTCCCACGTGCCCGTGTTTGATATCGAGGACCTGTGGCAGGCCACGCAGGGCCCCACGTCCATCGCAGAGCTGGCGGCAGAACAGCGCGTGTCGAACTACCAGCTGCTGCAGCACCACATGAAGCTCAGCAGTATCATGCACGCTGTCATGGTCTTCTCACTCAGGACGGTCAAGCCACTGTCATATTACTTTGATACTAAGGTTAGCTAAGGCCACACCAATTTAATTTGTTGGTTCTCGGATTTTTTCAGAAAAAATATGAAGCGACAGGGTGAAAAAAAATAAAAAATAAAAACAGGTCTAGGCATCCTATTATAGCCCCAAATGCTTCGATAGGAGCCATGAAGTCAACACAAAAGACTGGGGTAAAATTTAAAGAAAGAATTTTGAAGTTTTAATGAAACCACTGTATTGATAGATGGAAAAACTGTAACATCTAGGAAGAAAAGGTCTTTCCTCAACTGTTGGAGGCAAAATATGACCATTTTTGAGTTAATTCAGAACCAGAATTTTTTTTATTTTTTTATTTGCAAATCAGAAAAAAATGAAGAGGCGAATCCGAGAACCAACAAATTAAATTGGTGTGGCCTAAGCTTCTTTATTATCAAGTTAGCTTTGTTTCCTTGTGCCAGCTTCTTTCATATCAATTTGGCTTTGACTATTAACAAGTTTTAGCTTTCTTTTTAATACTGTAAAGTTACTTGTTTATGATAATCCATTAGATTGACCATATAGGCTCTTTTCTTAGAGGTTCAGTGGCACTGGTGAGTACAATGTTCCTACATAGAAAGGGTGAGAGGCATTTAAAGGCAAAAGGAAATTTGTGTTATTTTTTGACCAGGGCAAGAATGCATTCTTCAAGGACCTGCACTCCTACCCCCTCCTGCCTGGCAGTGACATTGACATCGCCATCATTTGTGCCAGGCAACAGGTAGGAATGCAAGTGTGGAAATTATATTCATATGGTAGTTGAGGATAGAGACTATAATATAAAATGTATTTTTGAGTGACTATGCTGTTCTGTCAAATGTGACGTCTATTTTTTTAAAAATACGACAGAAAAGAAACTGAAAATATATTTTTGTACATTTTCTGTTCGGTTTGGTTTGTATTGAAATTGTGCTATTCACAGAAATGTCCCCTGTTCACAGTATCAGTGTGGTTGTTCCTTTGTGTTTTCCCATAGTTCCTATGTAGAATAGTGAGTGCAGCAGTTGGAACCCTCCCCATCCCTCCAGCCTTTCTCACCAAAGATGATGGTGCTGTTGCGATGGAGACAGACAAGGAAAAGGAATTGTTGCAATCTGACCTTGATGCCTACCAAACAATGTCAGACAACAAGGTGGTGTTGGAGGCCTGTAAGTGGGCAGACACCATACTGGAGTTAGGTCAGAGGTTGGAGGTGGATGTGGACGTGGTCAGAAGACATTACTGTAATGAGCTGTACAGCAGGGGCTATGACTACCTGGGACAGGAGGTGTGTTTTACCCTACATGTCCAATTTTCCACTATCTGAACCTTCTCTTTTTGGAGAAAGGGAAATATTCTGAGTTCTTTATTTGAATATTTTCTCTGGAAAAGGTACTAGTAATCAGATGGTATAATACCTTTGTTATTAGGGCTTAGGCCAAATCTGGTGTGGCGAATGGTAATGGCTAAGAATTTTTTCTTGATGAGACACTTTTCTCCTTGTGTTTCCTGCCAGGTGCTGAACTCTGTGAATGAACGGTGCCAGCTGGGCTGTGACCTGCTCCTGCTGGTAGGGAAGCGTCTGTCCCACCTCATGTCCTCAGCTGAACCCAAGAGAAGTGTTCAACTCCTGTCCAGACTTCCTCCCACCCTGTCCACATGGCTCAAGCAGCAGGTAACTCAGCTCCACCATCTCTATGATGGCCTCCTGCTACATGTTTCTGAGTTTATTTACTCCACAAAGTAGGTATGTTCTTACTATAGCTTGTGTGTTGGTGTGTCAAAAAGGTAACTCAGAAGATCTCCAGTGGATTGTGTTTTTTTTCCTTCATCAGTTTCGATGGTGATTCAGAAATCTTGTGCACAACAATGAAAAGACAACTAGATTGGACAAACCTCAAGCAGAGCAGAGTTAGGCTTAATTTGAGATGTACAGTTGTGGATGTGGATTTGTACGATGTCCCTTTATTAGTCTTACCAAGTTACATTTTATAGTTTGTACTGTGTCTCTTTAATCTAGCTATTTCCCTATTCCAGAGTCCATCAGATGTCCATTTCCCCGATGTCCCTCTGCTCCTGACTGCCCAGCTGTTGAGCCAGGTGGTCAGCCTCCTGCCTGAAACACACGGACAGTACAGCCTGGCCATACAACTTGTCGAGTCCATCGATATCATGAGGGACTGATGTTATTTATAAAGGAGTATACCATCTAAGTCATCTCTATCTGATGGTTGAAAGAAATGTTGTAACATTGTGTAAAGTATTTGTGTTGATAGATAAATATTTCATCTATTCAAGAATCCAGTATCAGATTGTGCATTAGGTATTAATTCCTTGTTCAAAAATAGAGAATTTGTACAGGCAACTTCAGGCCAATAAGTAATCTCTACCAACGAGATATGTCTGGGTCAGTCAGGTGATGGTTCAAATGTTTTTTATTGATGGACACATTATGACCTCATACCCACACAAATGGGTATGTTTTACCTGGAGTTTAGTTCTGCAGGATAAATCATGCACTGATAATGCTTGCAAAGGCAGGACAAGTATAGCTATGGCGTAACCCTTAATCATTAGTCAACTGTTGCAATGAACACACAATAAAAGTGCAAAATTGTACTTACTTGATCTGGGATAAGGAATTGTAGAACTCCAGCAAATGTCTGTCAGTAGTGTGAATCTATTTATTTTCATGGGGATTTCATCTTCTGATAGGAGTGGAAAGGTTTTTGCAGTGGTTAAAACACGTTTGAGGTGTCATGGTGGACAAGCACTGCAAAAATAAAACCACCACAACTGATAATTAGCAAGTAATATGCATGTGTTCAATAATTTAATATAAAGAAAAGGGTGTGTTGCAGTTCAATGAATGGCGACTTGTGTCCAAATGCTGCTGCTCCTTTTCAGTTCTCCAAAAATGTAACTTCATTAGCGCTCAGATATCATTTACATTGTGCCATCATTCTGGTATTAGATGATCCTTTATGATTCACTCCTGGACATTGCTTTCAATGGCCCAAGAAAAATAGTCGTATCCAAAATAGAACCCACAGCTTATAATTATAAAGCTAGCTGTATCATTTCTCCAATAGAAATTGCCTTTCACATTTAGATATTCAAAGTCTGATAGTGACCTTAATTTGTAGGACTCAGGCAGCATTCTTCATTGGCCAATCTGAGGGTGCAATGTACCATGGGGAATATTTGCTCAGTAGGATTTTCAGTACTGTACCTACTTTATCATAGTATAATAAGGGTGAACCAAGAGCACACAAGTACAACATTTGTAGCAGTGTTTTTGTTTGTTTTATTGACAGCTTAGTGGAATTCTCCATGTGTCTAGAGAGTCAGATTATCTGCAGGGATGGTGATGCTTGTCCTCTTGAAGGATGCTGATAAAGTCTAAGACATTCTGTGTGCAGTGGGGGTTTGGGATCTTTCCGTTTACTTGAAGCATTTGCCCTGGTTGAATTTCCTGCTCCCCATGATCTTGAAGTCGCCCTCCTCAGACCAGAATTCCCGGACCAGCAGCTTGGTCTCCTCACTGTCGGGGTCCAGCTTTCGCCACGAGTAGCTCTCGTAGTCGATTTGCCAGTCCGCACTCAGCTGCACAACAGGGAAGTGAAATTTTAATCCAGCAATTTCAAGTGATCTTGTATTTTCATTAAGAACAGCATACTGTCCTGGTTCATTTTCCGTTTCTCACTGCTTAAACACATGCCTAAAGGACTTCATTGAACACAATATGCAAACAAAAATGCGTCTGACTACATGCATACATTTGTAAGGCTATCACAGGTAGCCAAGAGTCTTGCACTCTTGTTCACCCCATATGAAATGACAAAACTTCAATCAAATAAAACATCACTTACAGGGAAAACCAGCTCTTGTCCCCTCATGAGCCAGACTCCAGCGATCTGGTTGTTCTTGTCCTCACCGAAGATGCACACATTAGCAAAGGCATTCTTCTTCAGCTTCTCCAACCGCTGGAACATTCCTACAGTAGCAAAAATTTTGTTTTTAGTTCAGGAAGTTTATGATCTAAAGTGTGTTTCTAATTTAACTAGCATGTTTCAAGATAACTGCAGACTAAATTTATCTCTAAAACTGGAGGCTATTATGAAAAGTTAAATTAAGCTGGTTTAATATTATACACTACTGCATTACTACATTTTAGATAAGGCCATGTTGATTTGATTATATGGATGACATCCACACGTGCATGAATATTTGGCTGTTTCCAACAAAAAAGTTTTCAACCAAAACAGTTGCAACATAAGAAAATATATACCGTAAGTTACAAAAAAATGATACCAATGTCGTAGAAGGCCAAAATCAAACGAAAAATATGAAAATGTAAAGAAATGAATTTGAAGAGTAGATTATTCTTCAAACCATACTCATTTGTTCAACCTTCATGACCACGTAGATTTCATGTTGAAAGCAACTTTTTTTTTGCCAAACTTTTTTTTTATTCCCACACGCGCATCAGTTTTGGGGTTCCCAGAGGATGTCATCCATATAATCAAATCAACATGGCCTAAAGGCAGATTCAACAGGCTACTCACCGCCGACAAGGTTGCATGTCATGAAGATCATGTTGAGGTCGGACTGGTACAGGTACTCAGAGTACCACAGGGAGTAACCCTCCTTGTCAAAATGCTCCCAGAAGTAAGGCAGTGCTTCAGTTAGGGTGTCCTTGTTGGAATATGTTCTCTTGAACTCATCCATGTTGAAAGCACTGAGGAAAAAATAACCACAAACAAGTCAGTCTAATGATGCCCGATGCTTAACTTTCTACATCATCGTTTCACCCTCATTCCAGAAATGTAAGGTCACTGAAGAAAAGGGTATCTTTAGGAAGAGCAATATGCAAAGTTTTCAACAAAAAAGCAACAACAAAGATATCATCAACTGACCTGGAGTTTCCATTTTTTTAAACATCTAATACTATATTTCTATCTGTACCTCAGAGAAGTGACATTGGGTCAGTTCTCACTCAGGTCTGTTCAGAGTGGTGCATGATGTCTCATCATAGGTACATCTAATTCTAAGATTCTCCTGTCCAAACCTGGAAGGCTGTTTCTGCTACTACTTCCAACATGTAGCATGACACCATGACATAATATAAAGAGTCCATACCTCTTTGATAGAGCAGCAAATGGGTCTACAGCTTTGGGCTGCTTGGGAACATCATCAGCCTCATCCACTTCCTTCTCCTCCTTTTGTTTCTTCTCCTTCTTCTTCTCCTGTTTGGGCTGCTGAGGCTGCTTCTCTTTCTTGCCGCCCTTGTCCTTCTTAGGCGCGAGCTCAGCAAACTTCTTAGCTGTCAAAAATAAGCAGCCAACATGAGCAAAATGCTGTCAGGAATTAAATACTTTTGATCACATAATGCCATTTTGGAACCTTGCATCACAGTATGTTCTACATTTGTCCTGGTCCCATTTAGCTGCACCTTGCAAGAGTGGCAGGTGGAATATGTAATCAACTGTCTTTCTAAAGGTCCATCCTCAAGCAATACAGCAGATGTTTAGGACTGGAAATAGATTTTGTCTAATAACATAGGACCTTGATAACATTAATCCCTTACAAGTTACAGCAGTCTAGTATTGGACTTTCAGTATTGTTATATCAGGCCATACGGTACTTACCATCAAACTGAGCCATCTTGTCACAAAGCTTGACCACACCAAAGACAGCCTTGAACTGAGGCTGATTGACGCATGTCAGAAACCATCTGTTTACGTTGACGAAGGGTTGACGGAAGGCAGGTTCAAGAACCTTTGAAATAACGAAGCAAATAACTTTCAAAGATCAACTACACACAAGTGAATCTTGAAAAACTCAGAGGTAGTTCAAATTTACATTTTCTGAGGATGCTCCCTGACCCTCCTGTATAGTAGGGCACTCTTCCATCCCAAGCTTACCTGTTGATATGGAAGGAGAAGATTGCAGGCCACAGAGATGTCTGCAAGGGAGACACGCTCATCAACCAAGAAAGTACGCGTCTTCAGGTACTCGTTCAAGACAGTCAGGACCTTCTTGATGGCTTCCTTGGCCTGATCAGTGTTCTGAAGAGACAACAAATCTGTAATTAATTAAATTATGCATCTGGTACAACAGCAACTGGACATTATTCCCATCAATATAAATGTAACTATGCAACAAAAGAGAAACCGTTGAAATGCATTTACGTACCCCCTTGTTGTACTGCATGATCCCCAGGGTTGGGTAGACCCATGTACATGCAGCCGGGAGGATTTCGCTGTCAGCAAAGTTCACCCACTGTTGGACCAGTGCAGCAGACTTGGGACTGGTACCCCGGAGCTGATCGTTGCCCACTGGAACATGTCAATTTTTTTTAATCAGTTATGCATCTCAGCAGGAGGTTGGCTTGGTTGATCCATTTCAGTCTAAAGTTTCCAGTTTTCTTGCTTTAGACTGTAAGTTCAAACTTGTGCCAGGTAGCAGTGACAATAAGTCTTGCTGGATTCAAGCGTGAGTTAAAACTATTGTCTCATGTTGACTTATTTTGACGTTGCTTCAACACAAGAGCATCAGACCAAGATGTATCAACAGGACTTCAGTATTACGTCCCCGTAGAAACTACGGTCATCATCTGCAGTGTGAGTTTTCAGCCTCAGATTCAGTCTCTTTACAAGGTTGTCTAATATGCAACATACTGTACTGTACACTGAGAAGGCTTTTTCATCAACACCAGACAACTTTGCATCATGCATATCACCTTGAAGGCAACTCTGATGCAACAAGCTGTAATATTTGTACTTTTGTAGATTGCACTGTGGCTGAAGTGTGAAACAAACAGACTTACGGTAATAGGCGATGGCATTACTCTCAAAGAGGCATGTGCCATCCTTGCCTTCAAATGCTGGGACCTGATGACAAACAAGAACACATGTAGTCCATACATATGTTTGTGATACAGATAGATACTACTTTGTGATACTAGCATAGATGACAAGTGACAACATACTTTGTGCCATACAAAGAGCATAATTTTTTTCACTGTAACAAGAAATTATGATGCCTGACTGGATAGAAATTATCTTACACGACATGAGAACTGTCATCGTGGTCTGAAGGAAAATACATGTACCACAGTACCAGTAAGATTTTATAGACAACAAAATAAAAGGCATGCACGTGTCTTCTTTAGGTATAATCAATGGGTTTCCATGCCCCCCTCCCCCATACACTCAAGTATGTTCCAGAAACTTGAATTTTTCATGTTTGACATACGGTGATACTAAGTGTGTCACCGGGAAATATTAAAACTGTATTTCAATTACAAGCCGCACACGAACACGTTTCACGGTTCTCGCCATAATTTCTTCAGACTGTGGTGGTGCTCTAAACTTACTGACGTGGCGAACGTACAGACGACAAAAAAATCTGCCATGTGATTTGCATGCTGAACAATTTTTCGCTGTCTGAAAAATATGGAATGTAACAAATTAAACAACTGACGTACCTTTCCAACTGGGAATTTCTTGAGAAACTCAGGTGTCTTGTTGGTTTCGCCGAGTTTGAAGGCCGGTGGGTCCGAGACCACGTTCAGCTGGGCACCGCTGTACTGTGCGGCGACCTGGGCCTTGTAGGCCCGGAAGTTACCCGGGTAGGTATATAACGTCTGAAAAACACAATTTCAAACACATTTGGCAAAATATCGGCACAAACACATAAAGCAACAATTCCTCTTTACCAAATAGCGTCAAAGTGTGAAGTTGCTATT